TATCTGCCACCCGCCATCCACGTTTGCTTCAATCTGCGTCTTTCGCGGCACGTGAGATAAGTGAAGTGTGCGAAGTCACAAATAAGATGGTCTGTGTGTGTGTGTCGATGTGTGCTGGGTGAAATCAGATTTGGGTAGGTATATAGAGGACTAGTCGTCTATATATATATATATACAAAAGAGAACGGAAGACATACGCTGGCTCACACGCACATGATATAATACATGACATATATATATATATATATATATATATTACAGGGTGTAACAGAAAGACCTGACCAAAAAACATAACAAATATATGATCATTCATCGTATGATAAAAATTGTTGATATTATATGATAAGTAAATAATATTTTGAAATATACTGATGTCAGCAAATTATCAAAAATTTTTATTTGTAAAAAAGTTTTTGCGTTCCAAATTAATTTAACCGAAAAAATATTAAATTTCAAAAAAATTCTTAAAAATAAACTTCTTGACTTAGATAAATCTTTTTATCATTAAAATTGTTTTTAGAATCAGATAGACCAATAGGCTATTTTTAATTTATCCAAACGATTTTTTATTAAACTAATTTTCTTTTCAATACTAAAAAATAAACTTAAAAAAATGTATTATATAATATGTAGCGATAGGTGATTTAATGAAAAAAAATTTWAAAAAAAAAATACTAATTTGAACAAATGCTATTCMAAGTCAGTTGTATCTGTTACACCTTGTATATAATATATAGTWTATGTATAWACTGTGCGTGGCGGTGGCAGCGATATTGGTGGCGGCGGCGGTCGGGTGTGTTTGCTTACTCTTTCCACGATGACGAGCGTGTATATMAGGTCTTAAGTTATTCCACAAGCGTAGAACATGAAGTTCGCGGCTCGTTAAAACTCGACAAAAAGTCATTATTATACGCATAGGTGGGGAGACTACCGCGCTGCGTCATATACTACGTCGCACGCGCGTATTGTTTCGATATAGAATGACGTGTAAGGCTTTTCGTGAGCTCGCACCATTTTTCGAGCAGACCTCCGCGAATAAAATACAATATTTGACAACTATACATAATATATTACAAGCCGTGGAGGCATTTGTAAATATCTCACTTTCAGTTGACGCGTCGGACGTGCCAGAGCAGCGGAAGCGGAAGCAGGATGTAGTTTTTCCGCGCGAAATMTTTGGATGCAGACACGGGAGTACCGAGTTTTTCGTCTTTTTTTCGACATCTCGCGTAAGTCCTTGCCACCATCAATCCGACTCGTAACTCCGACACCTATATCATGCACCACGTCGACTTTAATTTATTATTGTAGGCACGTCGAATTCGACCGTCGTCGGTTGCTGTTAGTGATAAGAATTACGTATACTGAAGGAGTGAGGAGCTGATTCCTCGACATGGCTGTAGGTATAGTTATGCGCGTCTAAGTTTTAAGCGGCGGAATTCACACCGCCCGCAGCATGGATTGTCTCATCATAATATTACTAGGTATAGTTCCCGATTGGAGAGTTTGACGGAATCGATAATTTTGTGTTGTGAGAATTATCGGCTTGAGTGTAGAAATAAATTGAATCATTGTCTAAATCAAAATACAAAACTAATCTTTCTCTATGATCAAAATTGTGTTTTATAGAGTATAGTTGATATAATTTTGTTCTGTACTTACCTCACGAGCGTTATTAAATGCCATTCTGTTTTGGCAGCGATGYGCTGTATATAGTGTACCGTATATACAATATACATATTATAATTTTATATTTATTTTATAATGCTTGCTCGTTTGTATGTGGCAGCTGTTGTACACACGTGTGGGTGTCGTACCGGACAAGTATCGTTGTGGATAATATCTATAATCGCAATTTGACARTGACGGACAATCAGACGGAATAACTAACACCACGACACTGCGAAAAACAGAATAACAATAATAACAATAAAGGTTGACATTGATCCGAGTGCGTTTATCTGAATGCAGATAATAATACGATTATATCCAACGTCGACAATAATGCTGTGTCAATCGCGAAGGTTGCTGTCCTCAGAAAATATTTATTTTTTTTTTTTATCATTTTCACTCCTCTGTGAAACATCCTTGCGGAATAATTGATACTAAATTGTTGCAACACGAAATGGACGGAGAGGAATTCCAGTGTAAACGCTGAGTGGCGCCTATCGTAATAATTGCAGTGTTGTTGAAATAGTGAGGGTGAGAGAGAAAGAAGGAGGGAGAAAGAGAGAGAGAGAGAGAGAGAGAGAGAGAGAGAAAGAGAGATGTATATACAAAAATTACAGCAGTAAAGCGTTTTTTTATATTAAAATTATGTATTTTTTCCCCACGCGCACATCTGCGATATTTTCATCCACATTAAGTACGATTCTCTCATACATTTAAGTTCAGCGAAAATTCGCTTCATTATAATATTAAACGTATCATGATAATATAAACATAAATGTCGATGATTCGCAGTCCATTCGTTTTAAATATCGTACAGCAATATACCTTCGATACGATCGCATATACGACGTAAAATGATGTATATATTATTTAATTGGACTATAATAAAATACTTTTGTATGGAATTCGTTACGAGCCACCGTGACCTACATAACGGAAAGTTTCGTACTTTATGATGCACGGCGAGAGTCATTGTATTATCAAGGACACTGCACGCGTAATTGAGGGGAAAATATGAAAAACAATTCATTGGCAATAATGTGGTTGTTGACCCGTACGCGTATCGTTGAGAATAATATAACACAAAACTGTAGAAAATAAAACGCGGGGCACGTTAGATATATTTTCCGTTTTCCAATAATAAATCGAAACCATTCTAGACAAGTAATACTTTAATGTTATGTTCATTATGTGCGCATAAAATCGATTTCGTAATAATTCRCAAACCATGTCGGTGCGAACGTAAAGTCTTAAAAGTTATTATTTTATTAATATTATTATTATTATCGCTACTATTAGAACGCGTTTCAGTTTTAAACGCAACGGAATTATACACTTTCTACGTATTATATTATGTATAACACGTGTAAGTTGAACAATTAAAACGAATATGGTTTATTTTTCCATCGAGAACATTCCAAATCGTTTAAAAATGCACTTTAATACCGCGGAACTATTATGTATTAGATATGGAGGTAGATTATATACATATAATAAATCACTCAAACAGAGCGCAGCGAATACAAACGCATAATGGAATGTAAATAATGATTGCATTAAAATAAATCCTTATATATACATAATATATAATAGTATACTAATAGCAATAATGTTATTTTGTACCAACGATTTGCGTTTTAAAAAATATTTTTTTTCTTAATGATTACATTCGAACAGTCTTAACAAAATAATGTAATACGTGGTATACTATCATTTGTGAGTGTATCATACAATATATTATTATCAGTAGGAACGTTGTGGGTTATGAAATACACGTACACACAATAATCCATGTGGTGTTTTTTTACTTATTTTTATTAAAAATGTTCAATTCCTGAGTTCTCGTCGTCGCCAAGACGTACTCTATACATAAGGTGTCATGTGTACAGCGTACACTGTACACGTGTGTAATATAATAATAATAATAATATAATATATGTGTACACTCCGAGTTGTTGGACCATAAATCGTAATAGGTTACGCGGATTGTATACGACGCACACTGCTACTGGAATATTATGCATATACGCGAGTGCATGCGACGTGACACAGAAGAAAACGTCTACGGAAAGGCTAATTTATTCTATTAAATTTCCCATATACGCGCAGCAGCAGCAGCATTGTATATATAGGTCATTAAATTATATWATATAATATATATATGTATATGTATACGATATACCTATTTTACACATATTATATGCAGTATGTGAATGGCGCAAACGGCGAGAACGACTAGTATATTAGAATAATAATATAATATACACCACCCTGTATATAGGTTTGGCTCGTAATTAGCATGTAGGTATAACATAATATTATTATATTGCGAATAAAATATCGTTCGTTATTGATTTTCCCACCGCCACCATCGACGTCCGTACAGCAGCAGCCAACGACAATATTTTTTGCTATTACMTATTTAATTTCTTATAAACTTATAAAGAATACTTTCATCGTGTAACGTCGTCGTACAATATAATACGGCTAACAGTTAGTTGTGACGTTGTTGCAATATCGGTATACGTCTGATAATCGTAATATTTTTTACTATTAAAATGCTACAATATTTCCCGTGAGAATTTTCACGTTTTTCCGATCAGCTAAACAAAGCATACGGCAGTCAAAGTGGCTTTGAAAGCACATATATATTATACTACGTCACATTGTTATGTTGATATAACGTTTAAATTTAAATGACTAAACATTGTCATAGTTGAAGTCTCCGTTTTTGCAATTCTCTTCGCAAAGAAATGCTTTTTGTTTGAATATAAATTGTTTTTATTTTTATAATGAATACAACAACTACAAGTCACTATCATATTTTCACATTACAAGGACGAGTTGATTTGAGTGATGGAACGAAGGGGGGTTTCCATCAGCATTACTTATTCAAGTAGTTTGTCTTTGATGTAAAGTCAAAMATACAAGGTATAATCAATTGCTAGGCATTGGACACTGCAAATACACACTAGCCAACTGTTTAGGAAACAAGTCTTTTGTCTTCTAAATGGAACGATAAAAGTCGTATTTTGTTTTTGTAATTTATGATGCATTGCCATGTGTGCCAATGATATGTGATAACAGTTCATCTATCATGTTATGGTTATAAAATAGAATAAATATGCTTATATCAACCGCATAAGTTTGTACTGCATTTATTTTTTAAATCGTGTTTTTGGGAAGGAGGGTGGTATGAGTTTTTAAAATYTATAACAACCGTCGAGTGAAAATCTTTATCTGAAATGTACCAACAAATTATCGCAATTATATAATTAATCGAAACAACAACAAAAACAGACGACTAAATAAATAATATGTTTTTGCAGACTTGTTACGAGATGGAACGGTACTTGAAGGAGGAACCGATGGTATCATCCTCGCCWACGAGGTCTGAGTCACCATGGCTGACGACGTGGTCAACACGCGTGGAAGTGGAGGTGGGCCTGGACTGCGAAAGTAGCGTTACGTCCAACAGCAGCTCGCCGTCGACGTGTTGGTCCGGATTCGCGACACCGCCGCCAAGCCCGCCGGACGATACAGACGTGTCGCCGACCGTGGTGGCGTCACTGCTGTCATCGGCCGCAGCCGCAGCCGCAGCTGCAAAAGCCGYGGCCACAGCCTCGACCGCCGGCACATCAGGTCGGGTCGCTTCCGCCGCGTCCAACGCCGCCACGTCGGCGGCCGCCACCACTACCGCGGGTCTGCTGAAAGTGACCGTCGCCCCGGCCGCCGCGACTGGATCCACCATCAGCCCTGTCAGCACTGCCAGTACCAGCCCCACTGGCACCAGCAACGCCAGCACCAACACCACCGTCACCGTCGGCGGCCGGACGGCGGTCGGCACCGTGGCCGCGGTAGCGACGACGATCGCCGCCGCGTCGCCCGCGCACCGCGATCCAGGTACCGCGGCGGTCGTCCACGCACCGGTATTGTCCATCACCACGGCCGCGGCCGTCGCCTACCACCCAAGGTTACACCTGTCACCGGACGCCGCCAAGAAGATACACAAGTGCAAGTATCCCGGCTGTGAAAAGGTGTACACGAAGAGTTCGCACTTGAAAGCCCACCTCAGGACGCATACCGGTAAGTCTACTTGCCTACCCGTACTTATATTTATTTATTCGATTTAGTCGCATGTAAAGTATTATTATTTTAATGGTCCAATCGTCGGCCACTAAATCGTGTTCAAGCAGGAGCCAGTAGCTCACTATTTATTCRWTAAATGTTTTTTGTTCGTTATGCGACCGTGATAACGTGTATGTATATCGGTTCAACGGGAATTATTATTATTATTTTTTTTTTAATATATAGTGAAATAATAAGAGTATAAAATATAAATTAATCGACTAATACTATTATAATGAGTTTTATACAATACTTTAATTTTGATTTTTCGTTTATATAAAAAAAAAAATTAAATCATTACACTTTTTTGTAATGAAACTAAACATTTGGTAGAACAATAGTAGTTTTTTTTTTTTTTTTTTTTAAATTAATTTTAGGAATGTCGAAAATTTTGGGTTTAATAAATAATATATCTTCGGTGACGAGAGATATATTGCGCTGTTTCAAATAATAAAATAGTTTTATAATCTGTACACCAAGTGGTTGCCTCACGAATCTTTCCGACATACCTTAAAATCATTCGTTTTTCGACGGACGGTTAAATGACCACCTACATAATTTTCATAATATACAACTGCATCTCGGAGACCACCTGAAGACGAGAAAGTTGTAATTTCAGGCTTTAATAAATAATTAAAGATTGAAGTAAGCATTTTTTTGATTTCGAAAACCGTCTGCGAAAGGTCGAACAGTTTCCCGAGGTTTTTCACTACACATCAATTGTCGATCGAACTTGGAGGACGATGTGTGCGGACGGTAAGCCTCCCTGCACGGTTTACGATTCTCACGAAATCTTACATAAAGTCGGCTTATCTAGTATGTGATAGAAGTATGACGACGGCCTTTTAATGCGGACTACCGTTTCAATCCGGTCGGGAGTAGTAGCTGTAGTTGATACATTATTTTTCGTTACGTATGCGAAGCTCTTAGACCGTCTGTGTTATATATGCGTACACGAGTTTTATTTTTAGTCGTATTGTGCCATCATGCATGTATAATTCACTTCAGCCCGAAAAAATAGAACAAGAAATGGCATGCGGTGATGTTATACGTTCGGGGGGGTGTTCGACCGACCCGGATAGTCATCGACTCAGGTAAATTTCCATCGCCCCACATTATTAAACGGGACYCGAGGTATTTAAAAAAAAACATATTATGAAGATACTGGGCGATGGTCTTCGGTGAGGTTTTATTTTTCCGCTCTACTGTTTTTCATTATTTTGTTATTATTTATTTTACTCTGGCGCGGCGGCACCAAAGCCCAGCGGACGCTTTCTTTATAATTTAAATCCCGCCCTCGTGCGCTCGCAGTCTCACCACTGTTCGATGCGGTAAGGAAATCCCCTGCGAATTTTCCGGTCCTGCTCTCTCACTCTCTTTCACCCTCTCTATCTATCTTACTCTCACATGGGAGTATATATTATTATGCGTAGGTATACATCGGGATTTCACTCCTCGAAAAACATTGCACGAGCGCCAATTTATAGTTAGCGATCGATATTCGGTCGGGATTCCGGTTTTCCGATTGCGTCCGTCACGATTAAACGAATCGTGTTGTTTTCAGATGTCGTTCTTTAATCAAATATCATGATATTTCATCATTCAATATCAAATATCAATGGCTCTTCCACCGCATCACCTTCCAGACCCGTTATAACCGCCGTTGTTTGTTAAATCTGTTATTTATAATCTATGTACTATCGGATGGAGTTTTATGTGGTCATGAAAATTTTATCATTATAATAATGTATTTKTTATTATATAATATTCTAACATGGCTGCTTGATAAGAAACGGACGTTTAAAATTTTATAATAATATCACACTTGTATAATACTATAGACTTAACTTGACTGTCATGATATTATTACGTAAACACTAAATGGTTGTCGCGCAGTTGTGATGACCTACACAGCTGTCTACAGCACACACGCTAATGAGCTTTAGGTCAAAATGTCTTCAATTTCGAAGCTGTTTCAGCAAATGGTCAAACCTGCAGTAAAATTCTGTTGCTATTACCGTTTTTAAATATCGGAATGTGGAATTCCGAGGAAATCAAAATAGTCCCTCATCACCACCCCACGCGGCAGAACGCACTATTTGAGACTCCCTCGTCTGAAATTCCGGACCGCATGTAATAGTGCTCGGGTTTTAATCAAAACGCTTTTTTTGGGAGTGGAATGAGTGAGTGGGTCTTGAACAATCATGTGATTTCTAAGTACAAATAATTGTATGTTGATTAATTTAATACAAACAATTTTGTCCAGCATTTGTTTCTCTTAACATTTTTTAAACCGTTGGAATAAAAATATCTTTTTAAAATAAAGTAAATAATATAGCATAAAGATCGTTGYAAAGTAATAATAATATTGTCATTTTTGTTATCTAATCGCCATGGAAAATTGTCCATCATTTTATTTATAGTCTCAACAATATCTATGAACTGCATAATATGTGACCAATCGAACAATGCATATTATCAATTTTCATCGAACATTGTAGACGGTCATTTTCGA